GAAGTAGTGAAAAGGCAGAATTCCTCCCCCCGCCTAGGCCCAACCGCGCCCAACCTCGTAATCCAACAAACATTACCTTGGCATCCTTGACTCAAAACACCCGAGTAGATGCATCGTCGCGTCCGCACTTGTTTTCCGCAGAAACATTCAGCCCATCGACCCCATTCGGACCATCGGGTTTCTGCAAGTAGAAGAATTAGCCTCTTGGAAATTTCAAACGAAGGGATTTCATCTTGAGGCTAACAAAGTTGACTGAAAGAACTGCATAGTTCAAGCTGTGTGGGTCAGGAGATCCGAGTCGCGGCAGAGCGATGAAAGAGGTATTGAAACTGCTGTGGCGTACGCGGCAATAGCACCGGAACCTGGTTGGTTTGACGCAAAGTGGTACAGCAGGTCGTGCCAACCAGTTAGGCAGTGTTCAGACTTCGCGACGGCAGCGCATCGGTCACGCGTTCGACGCGATCGATGCGCACACCGGTCGCGTCAAACGCGCGACCGAAGCGCTGCCGTCGCAAAGTTTGAACGCTGCTTCAGGAAACGCCGTGCATCCCGAGCAGGTTTCCGTGTTGTAGCCGTAACTCGAATTTCTTGACCCACAAACGAGTACTAGAGTAGCGCTGATCTTTATACTTTCGCTTCAACTGTCATTATACTTTGCTGACGGGAATGTCCGCCAACAAAGAAAATCGAACTGCAAAAAATTCCGTAGAGAGGGAAGGCCCTCAGGTCCCAACTCGTCCTTATCGTTAGGTTTGACTGTTCCTTTCAAGACCATGCTTATGAAGGTACCTCCCGCGCATCTAAGCCGGTCAACCTAGACATCAGTGAGCAGGCGCTCGACTTCGCGATGACGCGCGTCGACTACGCTATCACTGCAGAAGGCGCTCCGATGCTGACGGGGACGCAGATGGTATCGATTCGTGCCTCCCGCTCGTGGGTTTGAGAGATCATTGATGGACATGGAAGGCCAGGCGCTGCCATTCACATAGCCTGGCAACCAGGGCACATCGTTGGTTGGGGAATCCCCAACAGGGGGTCGTATTTGGCCGCCAGGAGAGGGGGGGGTCGTAGTGAGTGCGGCAGCCAGTAACGAGCAGCGCAAATTGTCATGTGGCTGAGTGCGCTGTGACAAGCGAGAAACTGCCTTTGTAGAGAATCGGATATTGCAAAAAATGAGTAGCAAAACTTTCATACTCATGGCAACTAATACCGAGATAACTGGAAATATTAATAAGTCGACATCATCTCGTAGGTCCGTTGGTGACTAAAAACAGTCAAACTCTGGTTCGCTGCCAATGATATGGCGTGTCCGCGGTCACGCTTGGCGCTGAGCCAACCTGTTTTTTTCTCGACAAGCGACAGGACTACCATATCGTTCATATCAGACGTTTTCCAGCAGTTGGTCTCCTTTATCGGAGTCAGCGATTGGGCAGAGCAGCGATATCTTGGGCAGCGTTGACAGGGACATGTTCGCATGCAATACGCAACGGGAAACACTGTAAACTAAGTGCACAGTGACTCGCCATGTGAGCTCCTTTGAACCTTATTTGACTACATTTGGCTCGGCGTGAACAAGAAATTGCGCACAATGCTTCAGCACCTCCATCACTCTCTGCGCGGCCCTCAGTGCGCGGCGCATACAAAGTCAGCGTGATCGGCGCTAAACGAACCATATCCTGCTCCTGCTCCACCACAGGATACGTTCTACATGTGTTCTGGCTATTCGAACACGCTCACTTGAACGGTGACACAGGAATATGTGTGCGTTTTTGTTCACGACTGCAGGCCTGGGAGTGGTTCCTATCAAAGAAATCCGGGCGATAACGACGTCTCATGAATCGCGTAGCACATGTTTGTGGCAGCGGGTTCGTTCAGAACAGTTAAAGAGGTTTTTAGAAAGAGAAAATCTTCAAACACTCGAAACCATTCTCAGATTTGTGAAATGTTGAGTTACAAAAAAAATATATTGATTCAAACCTGTTCGGTTGAAACCACTCCCCAACGAATCCCTATGGCAGATTTCTCTGTGATTTTTGCGACCTTCATAAACGTTTCAGTACATTTAGGAAGTGTGTCTATATTTCCTCTTCCTCTCTACACGAACCGGTCTCCTCTTCCCCACAGGTCCGCTTTTGAGGAAGTTGTGGTCCTTCAAAGACACCCTACTTTGCTGAAAATTCTCGCTTCATGGCTAAAATTGCCGAACGATTGCGGTCACGATGTTCTGCCAATTACATGCGCTTCTGCTACCGTACTCCAATAATCGGGGTAATGCATTTTTACGGCGGTTTGTATAACTGTTACGTAGTGAGACAAGCCTAACTTTCTCTTTTCCTCGTCCTCAATCTTGGGAATAGACGTTGTTAACACTGTGGTCGCTGATGGCCGCTCCCAGAGAGGGAGTCCACCTCAGGTTAACGAATGCTCATTGAATTTAATCGCGATATACGCTCCCAGAGAGGGAGTTCACACCTCAGGTTAACGAATGCTCATTGAATTTAATCGCGATATATTGTTATTATTACCATGTGTGTTTCAAAACGGCCATCGAAGAAGTTCATCATACGAGTTTCTCATAATACGATTGTACCGTTTTTTGTTTGCAATCATCTCTGTATTGTTCTATTATGTCATGACTTCAAGTCGTCCATTTAGTATGGGCACCTTCATACAAGTAGAATTTCATAGTGGGCGTTTCATAGTTTCATTTAAGGCGAAAAAAACCGAACGGCAAAAAAGGGGGGGGGGGGGGTCGTACCGAACCCCCAAAAAAGGGGGGGGGGTCGTACAGGCTCGACCAAAATCCCCATCGAATGCTGTGCCCTGTCAACTCCTATGCTTCCCGGTTCTCTGAAGCAGCAGGGAACTACTCGAATCGATACCAATCTCGGCTGCGTTGCTCATCGATGAGCTATTACGAGCGCGATCTACGAGCGTCACCAGCAAGAGTGGAGACAGCTGCCCTATCATTCTAGCCGGCTGGACTTCACCCCATGCGCCATTTCATTGAACCCCAAGGAACAATTACCTACCTTCATGATCAGTACTTCCTTCAGTGATTACATGCATGGGCTGCTGGTGGAATTCTGCATTTGCTCCTGGGAGGAATCCTCTCCTGATTGGCACCAAGTTCAGATCTTTTGCTTGTCGCTGCTCGTTCTGAAAGCGATAGTTTAGTGAGAATAAAGACCACTACTTCTTTTCTGTTGAACATAATATCCTTACATGTGCTAAAAAAACCTCAAAGTTCGCCCAATCCAATTTGGGAGGTTGAGGGGATGGTGGGTAGGAGGGGGTGCGCAGCGTCCTTCCACTTCTAACTGCACTGACTGAATGCTATTTGTCTATTCTACAAATCCTGCGACTCAGGGTGCAGCATCATTGAGAGAATCCCATCAGGGGGGGGGGGGCGTACCTGGTCGCTGGGGAGGGGCTGTGAGCCACAGGATTTGTAGAATAGACAAACAGCATTCAGTCAGTGCAGTTAGGAGTGGAAGGACGCTGCGCATCCCTTCCTACCCTCCTTCCCCCCCAACCCCCTCCCCCGAAAACGGATTAAGAAAACTCGTCCCTAGTCCTGTTGTCCTGACAGAATTTTTTCAGAGCCGTGAAAGAAATCTTTTCACTTTTTTTTGCTGTTGATTTTTCCGGTTTTTTCCGGTCCATGTGCTTTGATTCCTTCCCTGACATACTTTATGTTTTCACTCGAAAAATGCGGATTTTACTTTGATTCTCGTTAATATTTCGACGCCGTTCGGCTTGGGAGGGGCATTTTGCAGTTCGTTCCTTTTTTCAAGGTTATGTAAACTAACAGGTCCCACCCAAACAAAACCTGTTAACTCTTGTAAAGCAGCGGAACGGTACAGCGTAAGCCACTTTGGTCACAAGTGCTTACAGGTCTTCACAATGTGGCGTCTACAGGCTTCGTGAGTACCACTTCTTGCCCCCACCAAGCGGAACTGCGCCCACGTCCCCGGTAACTGAAGCCAAGAGAGGGATTTTACCTGGGGTGGAGACAGGGACCTGTAGGCGGTTGATTCAACGCTGGAGCTCCCCCTATCAGCAATCGGCGCTGTTTCGTCAGTGTATTCCACGGATTTCTGTAAATATTGATTTAAAACTGCTAGTGATAAAGTTGATAAGATCAAATGAACAATCAATATCGATACCGGAATAGAAAGACCATTGTGAATAACACCACTGTCAAACGGAGCCGCATAGTCCTCAGCTTCCATGACCTTTCGTTCAACGCTATTCATGGCGTCCTAGTAAATAGTTGTTTTGAAAAAGAACAACTGATAATGAAAACCGCTCGCTCAAAACTCATCACATTCCACAATAATAAAATGGGCGGAGAAATAAGGAGACTCACAACCACTGGGCCTTCCTCACTGGAGCACACTTCAACTAAAGTGGAGGGGTGTGCCGGTGAAGAAAGCTTTGCGGTAAGCCTCACCCGCCTACACGAGAACGTACCGGGCGGGAGAAGTCATAAAGAATGAAGTACCTCAAG